GATCCCAATGATGAATGTAACTGTATTTTATACCTAAAATGTACCAATAACCTAATGGAAAAAAAAGCAGCATTCAAAGACATGATCTTCATTGTGACCTTTGCTTTCTCCTCCCAGGTGAACAGGAACCTGCCGTGAGCAGTGATTCTGACATCTCCTTGATTATGGCCATGGAAGTGGGGCTCTCAGATGTGGAACTTTCCACTGACCAAGACTGCGAAGAGGTGAAATCTTGAAATGGTGATGTGGAGGAGAGAGAGAGGAGCCAAGGGGACAGAGGGAGGAGTGCTCCAAGCCTTTCACAGGGCACGCGTGGGTCAGATCACCGGGGAACTCCAGGCACTGTGGTCCAGATGGTAATGAAAAGCAATATCCAAAGTCTCATTAATCAGGATGCAGTTCTCCCATCTCTGCAGCAGTCTGCCGCCTTGGAAGCTGAACGCTGGTTTCCCTTCCATGATCTTACACACATGTGTTTCACAAGCTTGTGGAACAGAGACTGAAAGAAAGCCTTTAGGGTTTCTTAATTTTATAATTTTTCCAGGTCTTACTGTTCTTGTTTTGGGGAAACTGACTTCTTTGTTTGCATTTCTTTTTAAAGACTGTATAATTTACATCTACTCCTCTTTTTCCTCTGGGTCACTCCCACGCTTGGGTAGCGTTCTGTTTAGAGGCACTGGTTCCTATGATCAGTCTGTCTGACATCCCTGAGATTTGTGATTTGGGCTTCTCGGCATGAAGCGTGCATGGCTTTGAGAAGTGCCTCTGCACCTCAAAACAGTGTAAGACCAGCTTTCATTAAGAACCGAAATGCTTTTAAATTCATCTTGAAAAATTCCAAATTCCAGAGCACCTAACTCTGCTATCCTAAATCTGCTGAAGCCATGACTCATTATTTTAAGCTGCATCACACTGGCTTTGATTTGCCAGGCTCTGTGCAGGGCCCACCACTACATGAGGAGGGAGCTCCGGGGAAGGACTTCAGCTCAGTTAGGTCTTGGGATCTGTGGGGGGTTTGTGGCTGAAATTCTGAACTCACAAGTCCCCGCCAAGGCAGGAACACCCATCTCCAGGAGCAGAGTCTGGGACAGCAAGCCTTGGAGACTTTAGAAAAGATGGAATCGTGTTTGAGCCCAGTGGTAAATACAGTGGAGGCTACAGCCGCACCTCGCTTTACCTTAGTTCCTACACCTTAAGTTATACCTCTCCAGACCATGAGGAAGGGTTCAGATGAATCCTTAGCAGGTTGCTTCTCAAGGCTTCCTGCTGAGTGTGTCCAGAAACGAAGAGAGGAATGAGACAGTTGATCAGTCACTTGAACGGAAAAATACAGCATGGGAATTTGCTGAATCGACTTTATCCGACTGAGAGGGGAAAATAGGGAAAAGAAGTATCCAGTGAATACTGAAATCCACCTGTGTTTTTAAACTGTTTATGTCTTTATTCTTGTTTTGATGATGATAGAAACGTGCTATTTTTCCAGGAGGTGATTTTTTAATACATTTAGACTCTCCAGATGCGGGGTTGCCTCGGGCAGGGACCTTGGGCAGAGACCTGTGTCTGACAGTCAGGTGGCTCACCGTAGCATCCCTAAGCGGTTGGCACAGACCATGCCACCACTTGGATTAACCATGAAAGAAAGCTTTTCTCTCGCTGAGCTGTATTTATGTGTTTGATGAGGGCTTTTCCGCCTCATTACACTAATACTCAAACGCGGAGTTTGGTTCCACTGTAAACCCTTGCCGCCTGCTGAAATGTGGCATGTGGGTCACGGGAGGACACTGGCTGCCCTTTTTTTGCCACCCAGAATGATTTCCTGGAATGAAATTCAGTCTCTAAGGATGAGAAGGCAGGCAGGGAGGAGGGGACCGAAGCTACAAACTCAGGAGGCCTCAGTTTCTCCATCTGTAAAGTGAAGGGTTTAGCATGACAATTCCCAGAGCTCCCTCAGACATTAGGCTCACAGATGACCGCTTTGTGAGCGGGATCCACTTTTGCAGATCGCAGCAGACATCATAGCTGGGGGAGGCAGAGCAAAGCCTTTGCGTGCGTCTTGGCACGCCTGCATTGCTGACAATGAAGGTATCCAAGTGATTCCAGCTTTAAGTCCAAGTAGGAGTTGGTTCGTTCTGCCTTGTTTCAAAGCTGCTGTTAAGAGTCTGCAGTCTCTGGATACCTTCAAAGCCTAGTTCTCGGTGTGGAATTCTCAGTCTCAAAAACGTTTATTTTTCTCAGTCAGCTTTAGCCTTTACCGCCTACTTCTCCTTTAGTCAGCTCTGCCCCCAACCAGATGTTGTTATTAAGCCTAATGGAATTAGGATAATTCAACAGCAAATGAAAAATGAATTGTGTTCCATACTCAAAGAGAGAAAATGTCCCTTGAATTGTACTGCCTTCTGTTTGAGGAAAGGTTTTCTGTTAATTTCCGCTCTATGGGATCTTATAGAAGAGGCTTGTCTGAGGCCTGTGGATCTGACCCCATGGAGGTCCCACTGCAAACCCCCTGAGCCTAGGAGATTTTTCCCTTACCAGAGGGTTTTGCTGTGGCCTTGGTAGTTAAAAAAAAATTTAATAGGAAAGTTTCCCTTTCAAAAGAAATGGAAAAAGCCCTTCTCTGTAGCCTTCCTGGCCACCTCCCCCCAAGAGGAGATTCTGTGTGACCTGGGGACCCATTGGTGCACACGTGAGTGTCCAAGGATGTGTAATCCAGGGTTGCACACTGTGTGTCCTTGCACAACATATATTGCAAGGGTCTAAGCCAACACTGTCCAGTAGAAATACAAGGCAAGTCATATATGTCATTTTAAATCTTCTAGCCACATTTTAAGATGTGAAAAGAAACAGGTAACAATTTTAATAATATATTTTATTTAAACTGAATACTCATTTCAGCATGTAGTTGATGTAAAAGTGCTAATGAGATGCATTCCATTCTTTCTTTGTACAAGACTTTCGCACCCCCAGCACATCTCCTTTTGGATATGTGAGCACTAGGTAGACACAAGTCCAGTTGTTACCCATTAGGCAGCACAGGTCTAGAGCTCCGCCAGTCTTCTCCCAAGAACCCCTAGACCTTACAGAAGAAAAAGGCTGAGACTCTAATGACCACCAGAGAGAACCAGACACCACCCAAGTCCCCTAGTGAGAGGGCCAGAGATCCAATTCTTTCGTAATGAATAAAGACTCGAGCAGCCCTTTTTCAAATTTCTACTTGAACCTTCTAAACCACTGCTGTCCACTCTCATTGATTTCTCTGACTTGCTGTCTTTTCAAAAGTCACACAAACCATGCTGATCTGGTGCTGAAACAAAATTCTGCTGACTTCTGTGACAAGCCCTTAGACTGACCTGTGGCACTGCAGGAGCCAGAGAGAGTTCTAGACCAAAGTCATCCGACTTTACCTCAAGCCCTGGTTCTTAAGGCTGGCAGGCCCCTAACCCCATAACTCCAGCTAGAACTCAAGAATTTGGGAAGAAAGACTAAGAAATATTGATGCCAAATACAAGATTCTTGTGTGGTCTTAATAGCCTTTGGGGCTTGTTGAGTGTCAGCCTCCAGCTGGTGAATTACAACCACCTCCAACAGCCAGCATTCTGCTCCCCATCAGCATTGCCTGTCACCCCATGCTGTGGGGAAGAAAAATCATTTGCATTCACTCAGAACACTTTAGGGTCACCTTTAGGAATTGCTGCCTCCTGTGTGGCTAGTCCATTGGAAGAGCTGAGCGCTGATTACTGATAAGTACAGTATTTGAGTATTGATTATTCTCCAGGATTTGGGCACCCCTACAAGGTCAACTGTGCTCATCCAGACAAGGGTGAAGGTAGAGGGTCTAGAGAAGCTAGAACTGTCAAAGTAGCAAAGGCATCTATTTCAACATCTTACGCTCATTCATGCTTATGACTACAGAAGAAGGTCTTTGTCCTTTTTTTTTTAATTTTCATTTTTTAGTTTGCTATTTTCTTTTGTTAGCATTTCTTCATGTGGTGAAGCATCTGTAAATAGTCTCAGGTCTGGGCGTTGTCATAGCAGCAGTCAAATGCCCCCTGGCATTTGCTTCAGTTGCTTGCCTGACATCCCTATGGGGACCACACCTTCAAATCCCAATGATGACAGATAATCCAACACAGTTCTTTGTGAGTTTTAACTTGGGGAGAAAATTCTTAGAGCATGAGAATTTAGTACTATTTCATTGTCCACTGAATATATCTCTGTGACCAAACAGAAAGAAATCTCACTGAATTAAAACTCTTTCAGAAAGGCTGGGATGCAGGCCAGGTGTGGTGGCATATGCCTTTTATCTCAGCACTCAGGCAGCTGAGACAGGAGGACTGACATGAGTTCAAGGCCAGCCTGGGCTACATAGTGAGTTCAAGGTCAACCTAAACCATATAGTGAGATCTTGTCTCAAAAAAAGAAAAGAAAAGAAAAATATCTGGGATATGGAGTCACTCACTTCCTGTATGGATCAAGGGCCCAGTCCTCTGGCACTAGGACTGCTGAGGCAATTTCCAATAGTATTTTTATATTCTTTTACTTGGATCCCTTTCCCAATTTCTGTCCCTTTGTCTTTGACTATCTCTCTCTATACACACACACACACACACACACTTTTCCCATCTTCCTTTCCTCGTTTTGTTTTTTTTTTTCCTTTGCTTGCAAGAACCTCTCCAATAACCTTCAGCACAACAAAAGTGGTGGTTCTGTAACTATAGTTATCCTTATCATGCTTACTACTGTTACTGATATTGTTCTTTTTATTATGTGATAATATCTATACTTTTACTTTTGATGCATAAAGGCAAATTAAGTTCTTTCCTAAGCCAGTCACCTTCATTTTTACTTCTTTTCTTCTAGGTATTGAGAATTAAACTAAGGGCCTTCACACTGAGTCATATCTCTCTTTTGAGGCGGGGCAATATCTAGCTAAATCATTAAATTGCCCAGATTAGGCTCAAACTAGCAATTCTGCCTCAGCCTTCCAGAGTGCTAGGATTACAAGCGTGCACCACCACACCTAGTTTCATTTTTGCTTCCTTTTTCACTGGTTTTAAGCCACCCTATAGCTATTGCCTTTTTTTTTTTTTAGGCTTCATTGCCAGAAGTTTCCTAAGCAAAAAATGGCAAGGTCACAATCCCAAAATGCTGTCTGGATCTTATCTTCCACTGCCAGCACTTGTGCCCACCCAGGTTCTCCAAGTGTCCCCAGGGTCAGGATTTGTACATCCTGTGTCTGGTGGCACTCATCCTGCTGAACATCTCAGCCAGCACAAAGCTTGCTCCTCGTAACAGAGCTGGGAGCCACTTAAAACCAACAAAGAGGGGCCAAGGGACTGTCTTGTAAATGTGGGAGCTGAGGTTCCTTGTGCAGTGCCTTCGTGCTATGGGGGACTGAGGAGACCAGTTGGTGATGCTGTATCAAAGGGGAAGGGGCCGAAGCCCTGCAGGAAGTCGGGACAGAGGCTGCAGGACTCCCAGTCAGGGAGCTGGGTGAAGCAGGGCTCAAACTCTCCATGCTAAACACATAGATAGGCTCCCTGAAGAAGTGCCCATTCCCCAGGTTTAGAACTGATAGGCATTGGGGGGCAGGTTGTTTAAGGAATTAAATGTTATAACACTAATGACTGCAAAAGAGATCTGAGTAGCCTGCAGAGGTAACTTCATTCTGAGAAGCAGGTATGAATTTCTCATTATCATGTAGCTCTTACCCTGCTTTGCTCCATACCTCCCAACCCCAGGCTTTTTGTATTAGAACAGCAGCATTTAAAGACTCATAGATTAATAGGAACATTCTTCTGTTTGGAGCCTTTTGATGGCACTAATTATCCTAGAACTAATGAAATGAACCCAGACACTAGATACGTCCTTAGTTACTGAGCCCTTTAAATGTAGAGCCTTCTTGTTCTACAAAAGCCTATTTAAGGTCAGTCAGGATTCTTTCCCTGTCTCATGTGCTTCGTAATCCAGTAGCTTTTTAAGGAGCCTCAGTGATCAAAGATCTTCTAATCCTGTGCTACTATTGGTGTTTGCACTTACTACAGAGCCATTTGCTTTATAGCCACCTGCTACATATTTATTGATGACAACGTTAAGACAAGAATATATGTCTCTTAAGAGGCCTGTGGGTCTGAATAGAGGGAGAGAAACTTCATGCAGAAGAGAGCTCAACTTGAGTTACACCAAGTCATTACTCAGTGACTATATGGCCCTGGGGAAGCAGGGGATATGTAAGGACCATGTGTGCTGTATAAACCAAAGATTGATCACCATCCAAATGGACACATGTTTCTTCCATTGCCCAGCTGAATTTTCTCCTGATGTTCTCACAAAAACGTGAACATGGGTCTCATGGTTGAATGAAACCATAGGGGGTTTTCTTTTGAAGGCTGTTGATTGACCTTACTAAATCCAGAAATCCCAAATAAACGAACTGTGGCCTTTGTACCACACTATCTTTAAAGTCTAGTAGTTAGTCCCCTTTACCTTCAAAACTTTCAGACAAGTCCAGTGCTTTGTTGAACTCAGAATTTTGTTCTCTTTGAGAATGTGAAGATTTTAAATAGCCAAAGAATTTTCATGTATAAGAGCTAGCTCATTATACTGCATCCTGCTTTTTGAAGAAAATACCAAACTGTTGCCTGTACTGATAGCAGAGCAGTTAAACAATGACCACTAACACGTGGACTTAGCAGTCTGAATTTGCGTTGGCCTCTGTGGTGGTTTGGTAGAAAGTTATTGCATGGTGAACAGCACCCTCTGCTGGAATAATAACATTCTTCCTTCAGCAAATCAATTTTTGACTTGAGTCATCACTTCTTCAACTCATTATTTGCCTTTTATCCTACCATTTCCTGAATAGTTGAGAATTTGGTCTACAGTTATCCAAAGAGGGAAGAATGTCACAAACTCTGAAAAGATGAAGGAGACCTCACAAAAGTGCTTCAGCCCTTTCTTCTTGCAAAATGTTGACATGCACAGTTTGCAAAGATTTCTCGGGCTGAAATATATGTTCTGAGTTGTAAGCGGAGGTCAGCTTCATGTGTAACTTCTCTCAACTTTCTTCTTGTGAAATCGTAAAGGAAGATCAATAAAAGGACTTCTTTCATATGAATGTAAATGGCGTGCAATGCTGATGTGTTTTATACATGTACATAATAAATATATTTACTTCTGCTTTCACATTAGTAATCTGAAATAGTTGTACCATTTTATAATTAGAAAGAGACAGCGGTGGGAGGGGTTGGAAGGGGCTGTTATTTTTATAGTGGAATGTCCCTTATATTTAGAAAATTTGAAGTAATTTTGTATTTGTGAAAAGTTACATTCCATCCATTTCCTTAAAAAAAAAAAAAAAAAAAAAAAGGTATTGTTCTTTAAAATGTTCATGAGCTTGGAGGAAAAATTATTCTAGTTGCCAGGGGAGTCTCCCAACCAGTACATAGGTGACACCAGTTTTATAGACTGCAGGCCACAACCAGAAATTCCCAGTTTTTAAAAATGTGAAAAATAAACCCCACTTATATGAGCCCCTTTTTTTACACCACAGCATTATTTCCCACTGGGAAAAAACAAAGGTCTGCTCAGAATGAATTTACAGTTATAAAATTAGCAGTGATGACATTGCAAATCAACCTCCAGACCTCCCTGGTAATCAGAGGAAAATCCAGTGGCTTCATTTTGTTTTCCTAACATGAATTACATGCTGTTATTATGAAATGAATGATGTCACAGGTGGTATTTTACTTAGCTTCCCCCACAGACTTTCTGGCCAGCCTGCAGGTCATAAATATGATGGCCCCATCTCAGCCTTGCCGGTCACGTCACAGCACTTGGCTCCAATTCATTTGCCATCTGAACCCCCAAGTCACAAAAAAGTTGCTTCCAATGATATTTGCATGGGGAGTTTAGAATTTGGACTTTGGATAGCTCTTGATCGTCGCAATACTGTAGTAGTGATTACCCAGCCATTCTACTCACACATCATTTTCTGTACAAAGTCACGTGCACATTTAAAGAATTAGTTAAGGCAGTACAGTTGTCTGGGGTTTTTTTCCTGTGTAAGTCTTTTTCCTTCTCCATCTCAGGCACCAACCCTAGTCCTTTCAAAGCACTTTATAGCTCTTAAAATACAAAGAAATTTGAAAACACAACCTGTCTTTAAAAGAAATTGTCTTCTATTAGGAGACACAGACATTTTACTTCATTCTGTTTTCTATGTGCCTGGAGAGCATAAACTGTTTTTGTTTCATGCTGGGCTAGCCATGAAATGTTAAGGATGATAGTTGGAAACGTTCGATCATACAACGTGACTATTTTTGTTACATAGAAGACTATCATGTAAATAGTGCAATTGTGTTCTTATGTACTGGTTTAAAAAATATATTGCAACTATAAAGATTTTAACAGAAGGATTGTGAATTCCAGGAAATTTCATTGCAAAATTTTGTTTGGTTTTGTTTTGTAATAAAAAGGAGCCAAATGCTTGTGTTTCTGTCATCCATGTCCCCTAACCCTGTCACCTGTTCTTGACTTCCAAAGTGGCAGTATGTACAGATTTCAAAATATCAGTGTTTGCTGCTAAATTATGATTATGATTATGCCTTGTTTTGCTCAGATAAGTCAACTGCCAGGCACCAGACCCCAGCTTAGCTCTGCCATTCTACATGAATTGATTAAAGCGATTATGAACAAGAATGGCTGCTAAATTAGGTTCTGTCTCAGGCAGGTTTATGCAAGTAAACAGGGCTATACCATGAGCCCCACCAGGTGGGCTGGAGTGGCCAAGTCCTTTTTTATATCTACTTGTACATTTCTAAAGATTTTTTTATTATTATTTTTACAGTGCTGGGAATGAACCCAGGGCCTCACCCATGCTAGCCAAATGCTCTACCACTGAGCTACCCCCCACCAGCATTTCTAAAGAATATTAAACAAGTTCTTTAGAATTAGCAAGGGATTCTTGCAGGAAATTTAAAAAACATGGGGATGCCAGCCTGAGAATATGCACCAGGGAAGATGAAAAAGTTGAGGGGTGTCCCTTTCATTGGGAACCCCCACTGGAAATTGAGAGGCTCCCCACATGGCTTCGATCCCTGTGCCTGGCACACCCAAGACCACTGACATACCCCTAGAGCAGACAGCGTTAGACAGTAAGTACTGGCCAGCCTGTGGCTAGACACTTCCACCTACCAAGCTCCACTCCAGGAGCTGTGGATCCCAAAGGCCCAGTAGAAAAAACTTACACACTTAAGGGCTGTGGGTTCAGAAAGCACAACTGCCCTAGGACCTTTGCTCTGGCCCAGTCTAGGCTTAATTTGTCGGTAGGAAGGGAGATCTAAAGAGATATTAGGACTGCAGTGATTGTGCCACGTTGGAAGTTACTTTGAACTTTGCTCATCATTGCCCAGACACATTGTCAGCAGTAGGGCCAATGCCCGAGTGTATGAAGCTAGACACCATCATTCCTGACTCCAACTCCATAGTCTTTGCAATAGCCCAGAGGTTCCTGTGGGACAGAACTGGGATAAGTTTGAAAGTACAGCACAGAGTCCCAAGGTCACCTAAGTTGAGGTAAGGCTGTGCACAGCACGTTAGCTGTTAAACAGTTGGGAGAAGATCTTCATAGAGTCTCCAATTTAACTTTGCATAACAGCTTTCCCCCATAGCAGATGGACAATAGAAGCCTGTTTTTCAAGTGTTTAAATTTTTCAGCACTGCACTGGACAAGACCAGTTATGTGGAACGTGTTGGTGTTCAAACTGGAGAAAACCTGTTGCTCCTGCCCACTTCTCAGACCCTTCTCTCTCCCTGCTCCCAGTCCACTAGGGAAAGTCAACAGGGACACAGTTTGCACTATCAGCCTGAGGCCTGCTTCACCGGGAATGAGAATGTCCAGGGGACAGTCACTGCTGCCAGGGCACACATGTGCCAGGGGTCCCTGGGCAACAATGTGCCATACTACCTTGCTCTTCCCAGGGAAACGGAGACCCTGCCCCACATGGAAACTGCACTTTGTGACTTTTGTTTGGAGAAAAACAAATGGAATGGAAAGTTTAAGGCTCCCCAGAGCTTTGTCGTGAGCCATCCAGGCCAGCTTTGACGTGTGACTCTTATTCCATTAATCCCCAGGTTTTGTGGGAAATGAATGAACTAAGCTACTCTCCAAAGGCACAAAAGTGTGTGTAGTTATTTTCTAAGTCTCATATTTCTCTGAAACCTATGCTAGTGTCCTCATTTTCTTGCCTTCGTTGAGTAATCCACTGCACTAGATTGAGGGAAGGTGCAGGGAGGAAATGGGGTAAGGGAGAATATGAGTTCTCTTTGCTCTAATGGCAGTTACTTCCATAGAACAGGGCCAATTGATGAGAAATTCAGGCGACTGAGAGGCTTCGTGTTTATGAGTGCTTTTAAAACAACAGTCCCATCATTGTGAGTGATCCAACCATAGAAATTCTTTCACCTCTTACTTGGTCATATATTCTGGTGTAGTGTCTCTCTCAAGACTCGCAGTGATTCTTCTTTCTTGGCTATGACAAGAATAAGGGGCAGTAACCTTCCCATCATGCCATCAAAGACCAGGGTCCCTCTGCACACCATGATTATCTTTCCCCTCCTGGTTTCCATCACAGCACAACCAAGATGCCAAGCAAAGTCTTCTACCAGTAGGACCCTGTGTTTGTTGGCACACAGAGAGGTAAAAATTACCTCCCAATCTCTTCTATTGTGGAAGACATCCCCACCCTCTCCCTGTGGAAACATCCAGAAGGTCTGATCATCATCAGGACCTCAACCCCAGCACCCCCTCTGTGCCTCCTTCAAACATTCCTGCCTTTTTTCTTCTTAAGGATCATATATTAAATAGTCAAAGGGGAGACCAGAGCCAGCTTCCATTGGCGGCCAGCTGCACTTGGTTGCTATGAGAGCTGTATACACAACACAGCTGTCACTGATATTACAGATCCAACAGGAGCCCAGGACCTCAAATAATAATAATTCAAGACTTAGAAATGGTATCCATATCTATAAATAAATGTGCAAGCAGAGCGGTGAATTATAGAATGGAAGAACATAATAGAGTTAGTCCTGAGAATAAGATTACCTCAGTCTAGGCCAGAACCTGATGTTTTTACACCAGCAAAATTCTCAATAAGTCTAAGTCCAGGAGACTTTTCCCTGGGATTGAATTATAATACCCAGATCTGAACATATCTAATGCACAGGGCTTCATTTATGATAAGAGAATTTAAAGGTAGCTCATTTGTCTCTTATCAGTTTCTCTCTGCCAGTTTTTAATTCCCTCTGTTTGAAACAAGGTGAAGGAGAAAAGGGAGGACGTTTATTAGGAAAAGGAGCGGGGCTAACACTGGATTTCCTGACCCCGTTGCCAGAGTTCTTTGGGCAATGCCATGCTACTTCCTTAAATAGGCAGACATTTGTCTGCTCAAAAATACCAAGAAAGGAAAGCAAGAAAAACTGAAAGCTGCCATTTGTTATATTGATAAGATTATTGTATAGTCCTGAAACACTTCCTGAACAGAAACAATTCTAATTTAGAAAAACAGGGTGGATGTAATCATAGTACATAAGCAAGGACACATACAAAGGTACACACACACACCCTACCCATAAGGTGAGTCCCCGCGAATGCTAATTTTAACTATGCAAGAAAACTCACTGCCTTAAGATCCCCATTGTGTTGTTACCCTCTAGACTCCACCTTCAAAATATAACTAGTCTTATACTTTTCAAACTGGCTCACAGTCCTCCCTTCTTATAGCTCCTGACATGGCAGGAAGTTGAGAGGGAGGACTTTTCTTTTCAATTACGGAGCGTGCGACCCCCAAACTACAAAGCGGCTAAAAATAGAGGACAAGATATTTAAAACCTTTCTATCTAGGAGGGACCCAACATGGCTGACAAGAGGAGTCGCTGCAGTGGAGAAACCAGGAAGTATGCGCTGAGAAGGAAGGTGTGTGGACAGTGGGAGAGGGACTTTCATGGTGAAACAGAAAATCAACAAGGAAAGCTGATACACAGATCAAGTCAAACAACAGGACAATGTGAAAAAGGAACTGGCACAGCAGTGACAGCTCAGCCTGCCCCTGCTTCCAGCTCCACTGGGGAACCGCCATCTTAGATAGTGAGGGGAAAAATCTGAGGGAAAGTCCAGTGCTGCAGAGACCAGATACCTGGGACAGAGTCTGTGTCCACCAGCCTCACACACAGCCCGCCCCCCCCGCCCCCCCCGCCCAGACTCTGGGGAAGGCAGAATTCCTGTGTTCTCTGCTGCAGCACAGACTGTAGACTATGGGGACCCCGCCCCCCGCCCCCAGAGAGAGGCTATGCAGGCAGAGGGCATCCTCGCTGAGTGGGAGCAGCCCACGAACCTGCCAGAGGTCGATACAGCCAGCCTGTTCCCTGGAGCACACAGACAGTGAGGACCTGGTTACATGCTAGCCACTGCGGTGGCCCAGGCTTCCTGGCAAAGTGGTTACATGTGAATTACATTAATTCTCTTGTTGGAGTGTTTAAACTGAGTTCCCATCAGATATCTTCTGAGTTTTAGACTTTGTGCTGTGTTGTTTTGTTTGGTTGTCGTTTGTATGTGGAAAGGGTTGCTTGTTTACTTGGTTTTGCTTATTTTTCTTCTATTTCTTTTTGAATTAGTTGGTTTATAGGTTCTCTCTCTCTTCTCATCTTCCTGTCTAGTTTCTTCATCTCAAATTCCACAGCAATTCTATTTAATTCTTTTTCAGAAAGAAAATTAACAGCACATTAACTCCTTTCTAATTTGCCATATATTTTGCATTGTCTCTCTCACTCCTGCTTTCTCCTGTATCCACCCCACAATCCTCTACATTACTTTGACTGTTCAGTATCTTACCTAGCCCCCCCCCACTCCTACACTTTTTTTTTTTTTTTGCCTTTTCCTCTATTGCTATTTTTAAAATATTTTTATTTTATTCTTTTTGGTGGGGTTTAGAGTCCAGTTACCCATTTTCTTGTCCCTCTCTTGTTTTATTTGTTTGATTACAGCCTGTCTTCTCCATGTCTCTGTGTGACTGCCTCTCTCTCCCCTCTCTCTTTTTCAATTAGTTTCCTTATTATCTTATCTGTTCTTCTCTAGTTTAATCTTTACTCCTTATTATTTATCCTTTTCTTTGATGGTTTTCTCTGTCACTGTTATCTAATACTATTAATTTTCTTTTATTCCTTAATAGAATCACCCATATCAATTTATTACCTTCTTCCCTTCTTCCATTGTTTGATTTTTTCAAAGTCTATTTTTTTCACATCCCCATGCCTATACTAGTATACTCATTTACTCCTATGAATCTATAGATCATTAACAATCTTACTGCACTACTCAACACTGTTCTATTGTGAATGGAGATAAAACTGATCTATTGAGTAATTACTGTATATAAATATCTGGTTTGTCTTAGTTTGAACTATGGCTGTAGATCTCATTCCTATGGTTAAA